TGACGTGCACCAAGATAACTACTCAACCTTCAGGCAGAAGCGTAGCATATGAATGGCTAAGATTAGCTCCATGTGGGGTAAAGCAGTAACTCCAGGCTGCAGAGAGTGCTGCAGAAGCCACCACTGATGCTGACGGTTCGTTTGAAATTGCAGAGCAAGTACAAGGAGGCTGGTAAAAAGGAGGCGAACGCCTGCCTGTACTCCCTCCTGCCTCACACCATGGACACGCAGCACGCGAAAGAAGCTGCAGAGCTGCTGAGTGAGGTAATGTGTCGTTTTCTTGTTGTATTACCTGACGACTAGTCAAAAAGTACGTAGCATGATAAACATTTTTGGCTCCACAGGTAAAATACAAAGAGAGCGGGAAGAAGGAGATGTCCAGCTCGCTGTACGCCACTCTACCCGACACTTCAGAAACCAGCTTCGCCAGAGAGATGAGCGACGTGCTGAGCGAGGTAAATAAAACATCAAAGTATCCCACAGTCACGGGACGACGACCAGAGCAGAATCTAAAACCACTTCAGAGGAGAAACATGATGGAAAGTCATCAAAACGTTTGTGTTGCAGCTGAGCACCAGCAATAGAGCAAACATTTTATCGCCCAGAGCTGACGACAGAGTTCGGCTAAAAAGAAGCTGCGAGACTTCAAAACTGCTCAGTTTGTATAAAAAGGATTTCTCTGTTTTCCTGAAAATAAGAGAACAAACTAAATGTCACAATCTGAAAGCAGAACAGGTTCACATCTCAGAGCACCGTTTATTTACACACCAGTGCGAAAAAATCCCTCACAAGTCACGAAGGTCGGGCGTAAAGGTACAAGACCACGGGAGCTGGGAAGAGAGACTAACGTTAGTAGCACAATCATCCAGCGATGAGAAGATCTGTGGCCCCGCCTCAAATAGTAGTCAGGAAATCAGCTGATCGCCAACAGGTGTGTGAGCGAAGGGCGGGGCCAGCAGTGAGCTCCGCCCAGGCAGAGAGGTAGGAGAGAGAGAGAGAAAACACAAGTGTAGCCTTGTGAGGCCGGCTGGGCAGGCACGGGGACCATGACACTACATTAGAATTCAAATTCAAATTCAAATTTTATTTGTCACATACACAGTACGATATGCAGTAAAATGCTTACACAACTGCTCGTGACCTAAAGAAAAAAAGGTCACGAGCAGTTTTAAATTTTAAATTATTATTATTTTTTCTTTATATCAGTTAGTGCTTGCTGTATTGGGCCTGATATGTCAAATTACATGTGCAAAACTCTATAAATAAAGAGGGGAAAAAAA